CACAACTATGTTTGGAGATGAAGGGGGAACAAACCACTGTGTCTGGAGATGGAGGAAGGGCCAAACCAATGTGTTTGGAGATGGAGGAAGGGCCGAACCACTGTGTCTGCAGATGAGGGGGAGCCAAATCACTGTGTCTGGAGATGGAGGGAGGGCCATACCACTGTGTCTGGAGATGGAGGGAGGGCCAAATCACTGTTTGGAGATGGAAGGAGGTCCAAATCACTGTGTCTGGAGATGGAAGGAGGTCCAAATCACTGTGTCTGGAGATGGGGGGGGCATGCAAACCACTGTGTTTGTGCCCTCAGGTCGTAGGAGGAGGACAGGCACTGCAGCCTGGTCCCTTTGTCCTCAGCTCACCTTCACGTTTCCATGCGTGAGATCGTGGAACCCAGCCCAACCCACTACTGTCAGCTGCACAGAGGCTGCTATCAGAATAATCAACATCTGTGCTGCATGTCGTATGTTGTATGTTGTGAAGGAGTACATGGTTAGTGCCAGGCGGAAATTAATATCTCTGATTTTGCATCCATTTGGTAACTTGTTGAAGTTATCTGATAGACAGCAATGCATGTTTTTTAAATATTATATATATATATTACTTTATACCATCTGAAAGAAATTGAAATAGAGAAGCATCACTTAGTTTATGATCCAGTGGACAGACGGTATTAGAGAACATTGCTGATGTTTATCACTATTGTTTTTCCGCCTATATACGCTATGACTGGTAAAGTGAAATTTGAGAATGAGACTTTCACTTGGCATTTTAGCCTCAAATAACAAACCAACACTGTAGCACATCATTGCGTTTATATGTGGTAGGTGTTCTATATGAACGGCTCATTGTGGACTGTTTTGATGGAGCTCAACATCAAAAATACGTGTACAAACTTTTGTGAATAATTATTACCATAATATCAAGTAATTGTCTTCCTAATTAATGGAATGCTGCGTTTTGTGGTTATTTCTAGTAGATTTTTTAGTGTTTTTCTATCCCTTTTATTTATAGGCTTATAATAATTGAATTCTAAATATAATATATAAATATAAATAATAATAAGGATCGAGGAATTTTTCTCAATTGCAAAGATAGGCGGTTCATGTTTGTGTGTAACACCTTTCCAAAGTTACGTGCCCAGATTAATGGGTGCGAAAATAAACGGATTCCGCGTTTGTCGGGTTCTAAGGGTTAAACTGTGTCAGGATGTTGTATTATTTAGGTAAAGTTATAGTAACATGAGTGCTTATCCCTCAGTTTTATTTCTGGATCGGGCCCGTTTGTCAGACCTGGTCTGTTTGGGGGAGGGCACATGCTGCAGGTCCCTCGCCACAGTGCGACCTTCAGAAATCCCCAGGTGATCCCCACCTGGCGTTCATGTTTCCCCCTCCTGCCAGATGACCGCTAGGCTGTTTATGCTGCTGGAGCTGGTTGGTTGGGAGCCACATGGTCCGGAATGTCCACCTGAAATCAGGATGATAACTTCAACCATTGTTTTTCTGACATGGAAAGTTGTCTGAGGTCATTAATGTAAAGTAATGTTAGCCCCGTGATTCCTGCCTCCCCCTCCCACGCATCAGGTCACCGGACCCTGTACATCGGCGTCCACGTCCCCCTGGGTAAGAAATCCCACAGGAGACATCGGCACCACAGCCATCGGAACCGCAAGAGGGACAGGGAGAGGGACTCCGGGGCCGAGGACAGCCGGGAAAATCTCAGCCAAGGTAAGGCCTGGTTCTGTGAATCAGCTACAGTGGTGTCAATTAGCAAATAAAAGTAGAGGAGTTAAGATCTCAACCCAACCGCAGGTCTCTCAGTACGTCAGGCAGAGACCTTAGTGACCCTGTGTGAGATGCTCACACCAACTCTTAAATCAGAAGGTGCCGGAACACGAAGGGCATATGAGAAAGGAGGGGTAATGAAGCGGGCCCAGGTCCCGGAAGGTGTACAAAACACGGTGTGGACAACATGCTATGAATTTTAAAGAATTAATCTGAGCTAAGTAAGGACATGAAATTGTGTGAAGTTTGGTCTGTAAATTTAAAATGCATGCTTTATTTTAAATTTTATATTATTGTTTTTGTTTTCTTAACCAGAGAGTTTCAGGATCCATGCAAATAGGTGTCGGTACACAGAGAATCAAAAACAGAGAGGTCCCGGAATGCGTTCTGGCAGGATCCGGCACAAATTAAGCACAGGCTCACAGCATCCCTGCTGCTCCAAGTCTCCCGATACTCAGAAAAGAGGAATTTCCCAAATTAAACTTGGGTCCTTTTTTAAAGATGTGCCTCTCCTAGGATACCCCATAGCCGGCAGGCTTGGGAAGGGTTAGTGGCTCGGGGGAAAGCAGATGAGCTGAATACCAGCTAGCAAATGCTGGGTGCGTGTTCCGGGTCCCACAGACACCCCGTCCCAGAGGGTTCAGTTCCTGCTCGGCACCGAGGACGATGACGAGGAGCACGTCCCTCACGCCCTCTTCACGGAGCTGGATGAGATCTGCCTGCGCGATGGCCAGGATGCTGAGTGGAAGGAGACGGCCAGGTAGCGTGTCGGTCCTCCTCCGCGTCGGTCCCGGCTTGGTGGCGGCGTGATGTCGTGTGACACTCCAGCTGGCCGACGATAAACTGTCACCCTGTCATCCACATTATCCCCGATTCCCTTCCTGAGTGCCTGAGCATGTTTATTGGGCCTGTTCAGCCTGTAAATCCCCCTCCAATAAATAGACCTTTGCATTTAAATGATTCAGTTGTGTTCCTCCCCCAGTATCAAACTCCCTCCTACCCACTAGACCACATGGTTGAACTGGTGCTGAACTGGTGCAATTCACTAACACTATTGGCACCCTGTCTTTCCTCAGAAGATGTGGTCGTATCTCACCCAAAGATGCTGTGCGCTGTGGCGGGGAGGGGAGGGGGGCTTCCACAGCTGCACATGTGTTATGAAAATTGCGGCAAATTGTCACAGTTTCACTAATTAAATCTGACTTAATGGGGACTGGGAATGTAAGTGTAGCAGAGATTTTATGTGATGATAATACATTAGTAGCCATTTATGTGTCTCACAGACTGTAGCATGTTGATATGGAGGAGCACTTATGATGTAGCTATTTCAGATATTTATCATGGCATATCGTCATACCCCCGTACTGTCACACCGTCATACCGTCACATGATCATACACCATACTGTGACACTGCCACACTGTCATACGTCACACCGCCATACTGTCACACTGTCATACCATCATATCGTCATACCATCATACGGTCACATTGTCATATTGTGACACCACCAGACTGCCACACTGTCTGAATGTCACACCGTCACATCGTCACACCGTCATACCGTCATACCGTCACACATCACGCTGTCACACCACTGCACCCCTAATATAGAGAGTGTGTGTATATATGAACATACAGATATACACGTGTGTGTCCATGGGTCTCGTCCTTTGACGGCTTCAGGTGGCTGAAGTTCGAGGAAGATGTGGAGGATGGTGGGGAGCGCTGGAGCAAGCCCTACGTGGCCACGCTGTCACTGCACAGCCTGTTCGCACTGCGCAGCTGCATCCTCAACGGCACTGTCATGCTGGACATGCGGGCCAGCTCCATGGAAGAAGTCGCAGGTGGGGCTCTGCACCTCACGCTCGTTACCCAAATAATTACCTCACCCCCTCCCTACGGACACATGCATCCATACATTGACTGGTGGTGAATTCGTTTTCTTTGAGGAGAATTTTGCAGTTTCAGAATTCCTTAAGAGACAGTGAGGGTTGAGTGGTTTCGTTTCTGCTCCTGAGGTTTCTGTTCCTGAGGTCTTCTGCATGTCAAAGGTCTCTAGTATAGCTGGACAGCAGGTCCAAGTATAGCTGGACAGCAGGTGGTCTGTTAGAGAGTTGGATTTGTTTCTGGAAGATTGCAGGTTCAACGACTTGGGGCCTGGGCTCATAAATATCATCCGTTTCTAAGTTGCTTTAAAGTATTTTTAGCTGTATGCTCTACATGTAGCTAGTACCTGCCAAACAATGGACTCATTTGGTGCCCAGTGGTAGTTTGATCTAATTTGTGCCCTTCTGGCAATTTGTTATGTTGTCCCCAGACATGGTTCTGGACCAGCAGGAAACATTGGGTCCCCTGGGCGAGGAGGTGCGCAAAAAGATCCGAGACGCCCTGCTGAAGCAGCACCACCACCAGAACCAGAAGAAGCTGGCCAACCGGATCCCCATCGTCCGCTCCTTCGCCGACATCGGCAAGAAGCAGTCGGAGCCACACTCGATGGACAAAAACAGTGAGCGTGTGTTTTGCGTGTAAACACCGGGCAAATGCCTGCTATTGGCCAACTCACCCTACTGACCAAGCTGCAGGTTCCCATGTTTGACCCTGTGTTCAGTGTCAGTCTCTTTCTTCTCTCTTGTCTCTTCTGTCACCATCTCACCATCCATAGTGGCCACTTCACCTCCTTGCCACATACTTCCCTTGGCTGCCTGGCTGGTCTGGCCCTGACCCACATGGCCGTCCCATACTTCCCAGTGATTCCATCACCTCCACACCCTCCACCTCACGCTTAAGCCACGCCCTCCTTCTACATGGTACCACGCCCCTGAGACAGAGGTGGAGTCAGTGGACAGGAAGCAGCCTGTTCGGCTCCAGCTCGTCTGCTGGCCGAGACGTAACAGGCTAAGGTGGTATTTTTGAAGTTTGCTCCTGCTCTGGTGAACGTTCTGTTTCTGAAGAGGTTGGGGGTTTTCTCAGGACTGCTTCTGGACAGTTGAGATGGGGGGGTGTCTTTATGCGTGTGTTTACTTCCGAAACGTGCTGGTTAATGTTTGCACTGATCACAGTACACGGGAAGAACCTGATTAGGAGGACTCGTGGAAGTCCTCTGGATGCTGTAATAGTGCCGATGATTGTGGCTGTGAGGGTTTAATGGGACGCGCACGTGACATACGCACGGATCACCCCTCTGAAGCCAATCTGCGGATCTGCCTGCGTTTCCTTTTGCACGAGGCACAAGAGGCAGTAATCGCTTTGATTAATTGTCCCTGCTAACCCTCTTTATTTGCATAATTAACAATAGGCTGTGTTCTCAAAACTGTTTGTGTGTAAGCAGCTTAACCATATTTTACACCTTATTTTCCCAAACTTAGCACTCTGCCTGCTGATTTTAAAGCACTAAGAGGCCCGATGACAATTTACACAAGTAATTCTCCAGTCAAGCCAGAATGTTTTTCGTCACCGTACCAGTCGACAGTTGAGAGTTTATCAGAAACACTAATGAGTGGTCAGCCTGCACCAAGATGGCAGCCTGCAGATTGTGACACGCCCACGGGTAGCGTTAGCTTGCTTCTGGCTGTTCATCTCAAACAGGCTTGATTGGGGGTGCTTGAGCATAAGTCATGCCTGGCTGCTTTGATCCCTGTATCCACTGGCCTGCAGATTTCGGCTTCTCGTGGTGTCTGCGAGCTCCGTAGCTGAAGTTTGACGTGGGGGGGGGGGGCGGGTGCTCTGAGGACACTGTACCATCAGCTTCATTAAACTTGCCGGTGTTGCCAGACCGATATTGATCCCTTGGCAGCTGGAAACACTGAGAGTGACAGTAAAACCTTATGTTGAGAATATTAAGCAGGCTGAAAGCTGACAAAGAAGGAGAAGGGGGCTTCAGCGCACTGAAAATAGTAACAATGTCTGTCTTTGATCACGACTGCATGTTCCTGGCGAAGAAGAAGCTTAATATGGCACGGTAGCCGCGAGACAGGGCATCTGCCTGTCCCAGGGTGTCCAGATCTCTGGATAGCTGCCAGTGCACCTGAGCTACCTCTTTTGGGGACCTGGAGGAAGTCCACACGACCACGGCGAGAAGATGCGAAACCTGCAGCCGGTTCAAATTCACACCTGGGTGGGAGCCCGACCCTCCGTGCCAGAGAGCTGCTTCATCTCTGATACCGATATTCCTGGGTCACAAGAGCTCCGTCAGCTATAGAACATTTCACTGAGATGTTTGTCTTTGTTTAGAGGGACTTGGTCAGTTGAGAATTTTCTCCCATAATGTTATTTCTGTTAATCCTGGCTAGGTACTTAATGCCTCCTTCCCCCCCCCCATCCATGACCCACTGACTGTCTGCCCTCCACCCCCCCCCAGGACTGACCTGCAGTGATACATAGTCCAAGGG